ATATTTATACTTTTACTTGAAAAAAAACTTAATAAATATTATAAAGATAATTTTATTTGTGGATTTGATTAACAAGTAGTAACATTAACACCATGTAATATTGTTTTGTCGATATTTATGATAATATTTTTAAATTATAATTTATAATTTAATTTAATAATTATAAAAAAATATATAACTTTTTAAAAAGTGGGCTGGCCCGGCAAGCCTGTAGCCCACGTACTTGTGGGTTGGGCCGACCGTTTTTTGGCCCACACCAAAAATGGGCTAGCCTGGCCTGACCCATAAAATGTCAAAGCATGTATGGGTTAGCCCGGATGGGGTGGGCTAGCCCATATTGACAGCTCTAGTATTTATATTAAAAATTTCAGTAGCATTGAAGACTGGTAACTCAAATTCTATCACAAGTTATGGACCAATTTAAATGGTATATTGTCGTATATTACACCGCTCACTCTCGCTAATTTTAGTATCGATATTCGATTTAACTATACAAAATTTAACGTCAACGATATAAAGAATGGATTCAAAACATGTCATCCCAATCCGGAATGTACTAAATTCTAGTAAAAGTAGGATAATTCAAACTTAAATTTGAATCTCCAACTTCAATTCTAATATAAGAAAAAACAAAGATATCATCACAATTTTATAAGAAGTACAACATGTATAATCTAAGGATAAAAGCATGAGTTCACGTGAACTCATACCTTCTTTATAGATGTGTGCTTGAGAGGAGGCACTAACAACACATGTCGCTAAAACATGCCCTTCCTTCGTCTTATCATCAATACTTTCTGCTCCGAGCAATGAAACTGCAAAGCAATTTCCTGTATCGGACAATTTCACTTCTGAAATGTAGATTTGACACAAAATACAGTGAAGGGGGATATGAAATACAGTGTACTAATTAAGGATCCAGGTGGATTCGAACCACCGACCTCTCGAATGAAAAAACACTGAGCGCTCCCCCAAAGCCGAGCTCTTGGATCCATCAGTCACAAACTACATATAACATCCCAAGGTATATGTCGGGTCCTCCAAAAGTAGCACAGTTTTGAGAACCCAAATGTGGCAGAGCATTTTCAAGAGGTCGAACTACATAAGAACTAGGATACCAATATTATTTCATTATGCCAGTGATTAACAAGGTAAAATTGCATCGATGCTCGTCGATGCATATCATGACGCTGGAAATTAATAGAAGTGTCCAATTTGCAAGAATAACAAGGTGCCAATTTCTATCGAAAAAAGTAAATAAAACATACAATACAAGTAGAGCACATGGGATGGCCTCTTTAACCTTAATTGTAATTCCAAAAGCAATCCAAAAGGATGACATTGACTGAAACCTATTACAGCTACCATGACAGATTATTATATTTATAATCAGTAATATATCGACACTTGCAATAATAATGAATCTATATCCCAGAGCTCAGAAAACTACACTACCATCATACCATTAAACAATATTGGTAAATAAAAGTTCCCAACATGCCAGTTCTAATTTACACAGACAACTTGAACTCAAATTATCCCCAAGACTGGCAAAATTAACAAAGATCCCGGATTTGACATCATCCATTAAAGGAAAATTTAACAGGACACCGCCAAGCCAGTACTAATACCGTATCGAAAAATACACTGCCATGACTCAATAGACACCAGGACACCCCGATAAATTAACACAACCTACTGGCAAAGAGTCTATGCCATCAGTAATAGTGTCTTGCGAAGAAACACCTAAACATTTGGAATTGCACCGAGAATAAGAGATGAACTTGTTAACATTCACAAAAACATTAGGAATGCGGAGTTTGCATACTGGACAAAACTTCATCCTCTGAAGAGCAGCACCAACATAAAACACTGTCAGATCTGCTCAAAACACCATCTGTCACAAAAACTAATCAAACAAAAATTGGCGAAAATATCCTAATGTAGATTGTAACACACTCAATGTATATAAACAAAGTGCAAACCCGAGGGTTGTAAAATGGAAACAAACTGCATATCTAACAAAAGTGCATAAAGGAGAACAAAAGTTTACTGCATCAAAGAAGAGGGGCAAAAATTTGCAGAACAATACAACATATCTAAGACAACTGGATTACCTCAGTATGATAAACCAGGAGAGCTAAAAGTCAACCGTGGCGCACGGCTCAGACCACTCAGCCAGGAGGGACTCCCACCCCTGCTTGTCTGTTTCATTCAGAGATTAGCAGAAAGGCTTGTAATAGACTGATGCTCCAGATGACTATAGATCAATCAACCAGGGCAACTGTAGACTGACATGGCTTTTTCAGGATGCAGCAGAATGAAAAACCAACCAGTGGTAAGATTTCTGGTAATAGATGGCACCAGATACAACAGAACCAACTGCTTCAGACAAACATGAGCAGCAGCATCTAAGATTCTTGCATGTGCTATATACAGCAGACATGATGGATCCAATCTTCAACAGCAAATACAGCAGCAGGAATAGCTTGAACATTTCTTGATACATCCAGAGTAGGCATTTCTTGATACTTCCAGACAAAAGCAGTGGTTTACCTTCCATAAGTAGGAGGAACAGCAGTACACCAAGAGCAGCATGAATCAAGAATTCTCTGGACCTCAGGCCACATGACCAGGCCATTGATAACAATCATGGCCATCAACTATAATCTGATAAGCTTCAATTTGACCTAGAGACACTGAGCTGTTCAAGGCAGAACTTCCTAACCTACCAACCAAAGGGTACCCTCCCAAGGACTACAACAAGAGCACCATAACAACAACATCGATTGAAGTTTGATACAATTACAAAACAGGCAAACGAGCTCCCACAGAACTTGTACACAAGTACATTTAGTTGAGTAAGAGCAACTGTTGAAACAGCAATGAACTAGCATTTGCCTAGTCAAAGTTCAATAAATGCGATAATCAAAATTAACTACAAACGATTATAATGAAAATATAACTACCGTATCCTATCTTGGCTCTTCATCAAAAACCAGCTTTACTAGATTTCTATCATGCTTATCTCATCTGTCGTAGCTAAATCAACCGATTAAAACTAGATGTCTTGAGCTTAGGAGCTTAGAAAATTGAGATTGATTATTAGGCCAAAGTGATTTGCAGCGAAATGAAATACATGCAATTAGTAGTTGGTCTAATTGACCCTCTACGTGAGCCCAATGCATGATCCATTACTAGTTTTTGCAATACATATTCGTTAGTAGTTCAGGAAGCTTGAGGTCCTTATACCAATTTTATGGAACACCTTGCATAAAAACTTGCAGCGCTCAACCGACAGTTCTTATGAACATAGTTTTAGTTTCCAACTGGTTTAAAGCATAGCCACGAGTACAGTATAACCTATTAAACTAGGCTCAAAGCCCATACATTAATCTAGTATGTACAAGTAATCCAATCGAAACCCAGCAAGGCAAAAAAAATTATAACCCAGAACCCATACACTCAAAATCCTGGCTCAGCCTGATTGAGGCAACTTGCATCCAGTGGTCGAATCAGATAATTTTCAGACTCATAAATAACTAAGGAGTGAAATTAAGTATTTTAAGATTGTAAGCCCAGTAGTTCAAATACTAGATGGTATGAAAATAATGATGCCTAGTTAACCATACTAGAAGAGAATTGATGATTGTACCTCTAAGGGAGTGCTGCAGTAGAATGTTGATTGTCCATCCCCATAATTAGCAAATTAACATGAGTTACGTCGTCTTTCAAGATGACACAGTGCAGAAATAAACAAGACCAATTCGAGGACACGTAACCACGGAATTGATGAGAGTTATTGGAACCAGGAAAATATAGAAAGTGCAGGTAAAATATAAAGAGACACGACACAGAGAGAGGAGAGCCGGGCAAAACCCCGTACCATCTCCCCTCAGACGCCAAAAATAAATACGTTTATTAGGTACTCGTGACCTGCCATGCGAGCGCACCCAACATGGCAAAGGCCTGGTAACATGAACAATAAAATACCTCACTTTTTCCTCTCATGCCCCGATACATCGTTACAGACTCAATCTTTCATCCTCTCATACATAAGCAAGCATAAATAGAAAACTACTAGTGTATATAAATTATTCACATAAACATAAACATTAAATAAAACAATTAGAACCTTAGACGCCCTTCATAGATGAAATTGCAGCATTGAAAGATCAGCAATCCAATCCGTTTGATTTGTAGCAAATAGGATACCAATTCATTAGCGTCGCAGCTCAATGCGGATCTGCAGCATGTTGAAAGGATTAGCCAGTTTTCAGTTATCAACAACACATAACTTGCTCAAAACATACAGCTATTAGAGCAAACAATAAGAAGAAAATTTAGCTCACAGATAACTCTCTCATAGCTAACGGTACAATCCTCGAAACGGTTGATCAAGCAATTAGTCCATATCCATGAATCTCTCCCAAAAGCTTCAGATCGACAACATCTACGTGAACCGTCGACGGTACCACCGTTTACCAGCCATTCGACGAACGGTAGGACGAGGTTTTAGTGATTAAAATGAAAAGCAGAATCAAATTGCAATTTATTGAGGGTTAGGGATGAATGGACGATTGAGATTAATTTAGGAATAGGTATTTAACGGTAGATAAGTTAAACCATAAAAGGCGGCAAAGAAGTTTCTCGAGGCGGCAAAGGGTACGCAAATACTTGGACGGCAAAGCATGATTAAAAATATGCTGAGAGGCTATGGAGCGTGTAGCGTTTTTGGCCACATGACTTTAGATACAAAACGTATCACTTTAAAAATGTATCTGGACAACTAAAATAATTACACTCATTTTTTTGTTTCATTGAAAAAAAATCAAGTTACAATGTAGTGAAAATAATGATAGTTTTAGTCCCTGTGTTATTAGCTTATTGTGATTTTGGTCCTTATATTATTAGACTAAGTATATTTAACCTTTAATTAAATATAGTGAGTAATTTTAGTCCTTACCTAACTTAAAGTTAACACGTTAACTTTTGATATTTTTAAAAAATTAGCATTTTGGTAGATAAAATAAATTATAATTAAATAAGTTTTAAAAATTATACTTTGAATATATATATTACAAATACATTACAATGTATAGTCAGCTCTCATCTCCGCCATTTGAAAATACCAACCTACAATATTTATCAAAAAACATTTTATATATTTTTATAATGTGTTCACTTCAGCGAGTACAAAAAATATTTATCAAAAAATATTTTATATATTTTTATACTGTGCTCATTTCAGCGAGTACAAAAAAATAAGTGAGAAATTTACCATACTTTCCTTTCATACCAGAACACACCCTCAGATCAACTCCATTGAGAAAAAATAAAAGGTCAATTAATATCACGGTAAGAAGATTACAATAATTGAAGTTGGCTTTTTTTTAATGCATCTCAATAATACTTTTAAGAGTCCCACAGGCATTTCTATGGATTACAGAAGTCAGGAACCCTTCCAACAGTCTTTTCTCAACAGTAGTTTAAAAAAATTCGTGTACCCAACGAGAGAACAGCAAACTGTACGAAAAACTTCTAAGATAAATGGTTAGTACAATAATGTGGGTATATTTCATTTGATAATGACCTCATAATTACATAGCCATCAGGTAAGAACCCTAGAACTACTTACTGTAACTATTTATAAACACGACAAGACTGACGACAAATTTTGAATTTCTGAACATGTTAATTCTACACAAAAAATCAGAATTATAAAACATATAATACATCACTTAAATTAGGAATCCAGGTGGATTCGAACCACCGACCTCTCGACAACAAGCATCGAGCGCTCCACCATGAACCGAGCTCTTGGATCCATCCGAAAATGAAATTTAGACGCTAGATAATGATTGAAAATAGGACCATTAAAGAAATGACAACAGCTTTTATCTTAAAAATTCATGGTCATAATAAATAATTAAGTTAAGCTACCATTGGTTTAAAACAAATATTAACGCCATAAATAATAACCACGGTTATTCAAAATCTTAATATTGTATGATCAACTCGTGAAAGTACAACCATTGGTTTAAAACAAATTTTAGGGCCATAAATAATAACCATGGTTATTCAAAGTCACCAATCTTAATAGAGGTATGATCAACTCGCAAGTACAACTATCATGTTACAGGCCCCAAAAAACGGTATAAGAATGTAAAATAATCACAACCACAATAACTCAAATATTATATTAAAAAGACAAATCTTTCACGACCAAGAAGACACCCCAAGCTACTCTCGACACAACATTCTGGCAAGCACGGACATTTTCTAGAAATGAAAAATACAGAGCCAAAAACAAAATTATCGGTATTCACACAATTTACCCAAAAGTAATCACTGTAATATTAAAATGAAACTTCAAACCATTACGCACAGCAGAACAGCATCTTCAAAAGAGGAGAATTAAACGCACCATCTGGCCTTCATGAGAACTGTTAATTGTCCACATACATCATGAAAACACGTTATACATTCCAGTCTAATAGAAATAAAGTCCTGACCTGCAGACAGGGAAAACTTCAATTAGGAAGTCATTAAAATTAAAATACAAAGAACATGAAAAGTACCTACACAAATTCAACCAAATATATTTACAGAAATGGAGAAAAAGAAACAGATAACTACTAGATAAGATCAGCTGATTTACCTCGAGTAGCAGCAGAAGGCTTAATAAAGCCCGAGGAGAAGTTGGTTATCTGCTACAAGTTTTTTGAGAGCAAGTACTACAGGGGGAAAACTACAGCTTCTGCTCTTACAATAAGCTGGTATGAGAACAAGTATACTGTTCTGAGAGTTCCTCGCGGAACAGAGAATGGCATACAGAATGACCAGGCCACTATTGCGTCTTACTGATTACACAATACAGCTTCTAACAAGCAACAGCGACAAGTTCAAGTGTCACGGAATCATCAAAATCAAGTAAATATACTCAAAACACTGAACAATCCAAGAGTACAACTCAAATCTTCAACTTCAACAGCAGCAGCAAACGAGTCTTCAGATCTTTGACTTCAACAGCAGCAGCAGCTCAAACATTACTTGAGAACATCACTCAAAAGAGAGTTTCAAAGCACCAGGGGTAAAACATCCATGCATCAAGAGAGCAGCACTTTCCCAGCACAAGTTGAGACTTCAGCCAGCACGAACAAGAAACAAAGATACTCCAAGATTTATGTTGCAAAAATATCCATCATCAACTGAGATGCGAAAGATCTAACCAGTACATCGGAATTGATTTAACAGTCAAAATCCCAAACCTGCCTAAAAAGGCACCTTTCCAGAGGGCTACAAAAGGGGAGCCATGACAGGAATCTCCCAATGATTGGAACACTTACATCACTAATTAAAAGAAACATAGTTGTTCCCCACTAGAACTCATACCACAGATATTACTGAAAGAAATTAACTCCTCTACAATGAAGAAAAGGTACTAATTGCCAAGGAAAAATAGAGCCATGTGATAAAATGAAAAAAGAGTGGCAACACAGCATTCCACAAGCAAAAGAAAATGAAGATATATGGTTTGAAGCCTTTCTTCTGCTTTGATAATGGTTCTTACACGCAACTTATTTTGAGAAGATGGCTTTTTGAATAACATATTTTATATGTATATTTTGTTCACCTAAAGAAACCTAATAATATTCAAATAATACTTCAAAATTGAGCTGTTGGAAGGCTAAATAATTATTAGAACGAAGCTCAAGTCCGAACGCAACTAATAGTTGATGCCTTACAGAAGGATTAATTAATCTTGTGTAGTTGTTAATATTTCAATTTTTGAAGAAATAAACAAGTGCATGACCTCCAATAACTATTAATTAGCGTAAATTTTCTAAAATAATATCATGGTTATATTGCATATCATGTCAGGATAATTGAGAGAAGAGACTTGCCAAAATAATTTATAAAATAGTTTAAAGCTACTTCAATGAAAAGTTAAAGGTGATGAGAAATAGAAGATTAACTTTATAACAAAACGATACGGGGAATAATTCTAAAACTAGCGATTAAAAATAATATGAGTATCAATTGGTGTCTTAGTGATTATAAAGGAAAGTAATTTAGATATGGAAGCTGATATGGAAAGTGTGAATGTAAAATTTCGCGAAGGGAATTAATATTATACCTCTGGTGGAGTGCTGCAGTAGAATCGTTGCTTTGTCCATCGCCTTATTAAGCAAATCAACATGAGTTACTTGTCCATGAAAAACAAGTAACCACTGGATCGATGCAAAAATTGTTGGACGCAGGAGCAGGGGAAGAGCATGAAAAATAAAAAGGACGCGACACACACAGAGAGGAGATCCGGGCAAAACTCCGTGCCTCTCCTCTCCAACACCAAAAAAAATATTTTTATTAGGTTCTTTTGACCTGCCATGCGAGCGCACCCAACATGGCAAAGGCCTGGTAACATGGAACAATAAATACCTCACTCTTTTCCTCTCATACCTCGCACGTCTTCACTCATTCTTTCATCTCTCGTACATATGCATGTATAAATAAAAACTAACGCAAATAAAACATTTAAATAATTATAAACATCAAAATTAAACCATCATAACCTCAGATCCACCATCACGTTCTCTGAATCAACCTTCGGCCGATGAGAACCGGTCAAAACCGTTTGATCTGTGACAACGAGGCACCAATTGGATATTCCTTGCATCTCTTATCAAATCTGCAACATGTAAGAAGACTTGGCATGTTTTCAACAGAGGTAATTTGCTTAATTCATCTTTTCCAAGCAAACAAAAACACAAAAAGAATATTTAGCTCACCAATAAATCTCTTGCGAACAATCGCGGGGATAACACCTCGGTTGCTGAAACGTTAGCTCCAACCTCCACAAATCTATGAAGATCGAACAGATCTGATGCTCCACGATGCTCATCTACCTCAAACCAGCACAAAAAAGCATCAGATTTACCATCTCTTCGTCAACCGTCGGCCAGAGTCGACAAACATCGAACAGTCACGCCATTCGTCCGGCTAATCGCTGCTCCGATACAGAACAACGGCAAATCCATATCCAAAACGTAGATCAAGGAACGATCTACACAGATCTGAAGATGAAAATTGAAGAAGATAAACTCCTTAGAAGAGATCTGGAGAAAAGAGGATGTTGGACGTAGAGGAAAGAGATATGCATGAATAAAAAGAGGAGGGCGTAATTTATTGAGAAATTTGAGGGATTGAACGGCTGAGATTAATTTAAGATAAGATATTTAACGGTAGAGATGAGGCTAACCATATGAGGCGGCAAAGAGGTTGACGAGGAATAGGTACCGTAAATAGATGGACAGCTGTTGTGGAATAAATTAATTAGTGGGAAGTTTCTGGATGTGTAATTTGAGTAGGACGTCTTAACTTTTGTAACGTGTGATAACATGCTTCTCACGTCTAACACAATAATTTCAGAATTTTAGCAATTTAAAAAAATATAATTAATTTTTATTTTTAGTGACTATGGTGAAAATTATATTTTTAGAAGGAGGAAAATATTTATAGTCAAACAAACTTGCAGTATAATTTATTTAGATGCTTAAATTAAGGTTTACTGAGACTTGGGAGTATTAGATATTTTTTATTTGAAATTTGAAAAAAAACTTGTGTGTAGTCTTAATTGTTCATGTGGATATTTTGAATAATAAGTGAGAATTTAATTTTTTTTTAAAAAGTGTTTGTTAAGTGGATAAATTGATTACTTAAAATATATTACTTTAAAAAAAATTATAAACATCAATGACTTAATTTGAATAGATTTGAAATTTTATGGTTTATTGAGGTTGATGTGTAAAATTTAAAATATAACATATTTTTAGTGGTTAATTTATTTACGTATAGGCATTTGAAAACACGTGTAAAAAAATTTAAAATGGAAAGTGTTTAATTAATTGTTTAGCTATACTAAAAATTAGTTCGCGTCTGAATGGACGCATACCAAAAAGGGGAACTTTCGCATACAGCCACTCAAAAATACCTTAATTACGCTTCATAATATAGTTTGCTAATTCCGATTCGTAGCTACATGTTATAGGGAGGAAAGAGGGCAAAGAGTGGAGAGAGACGAATTGTATATGTATATTTGTGGAATTGTATATGTATATCTGTCAAATAATTGTATATATGTAACTAATATACATATGTATTTGTATATCTGGCGAGCGAGATTGGGAGAGTGAGGAGAGAGGCTAACAAAATTGGGAGAGTGAGGAGAGAGGCGAGCTAGAAAGGGCAAAGAGTGGAGAGAAGCGAACTGTATATGTATATCTGTAAGATAATTGTATATATATAACTGATATACATATGTATTGTATATTTGGCGAGAGAGAGAGGGAGGAGAGAGGCGAGCAAGATTGGGAGAGAGAGGAGAGAGGCGAGCGAGAAAGGTTAGAGAGTGGAGAGAGACTAATTGTATTTGTATATATGTCATATAATTGTATATATGTGTATAATTTGTATTTGTATATGTATAAAAGAGGACAATTGATGTAATTAAAGTTAAAATTAAGTTGCGAGCCGTAATTAATTAAAATTATAGTTATATTAGTTAATTAACTAGTATATGTTTGCTTTTCCGTGTAATTTTCCCTACCAAAATTAGTTTGCGTCTAAATGGCCGCATTGATTCATATAAAGATGTATGTAGAATATCAAAGAGAGTTATTCATGTTCAAGCAAATTTCAATAATATTATTATCATTATTACAGATGTACATCGTTGCGATCACATAGATATTTAATTATTTGGGTGATAATGATAGTATCTCTTGTACGTGAATCGGTGGCTTACTTTTTTAAAATAATGAAAAAAGAAAAATACTTTTATCACGTTTTTACATAATAAGCACTTAAGAAAACCCCAAAATTTTATTCATTATCTTAGTTAACTTCGAAGTTTTTTGACACAAGGCTTCATGTAAGCCTATGTTGGGTTTTAGATTACATGAGGGGAAAGAAATTCAAACAAAGTTTATTTGCTACTCATTTGATATAAAAAGGAGAACTTATATGCTTATGTATGTACTTTTTTTTAACTCCTAAAGAGTTTGAGAAGAAAGTCTCTCCTCATGCCGTTGTTATTGCTCGATTCAAATTCGTGTGATCCGTTCTGTTGAAATTCTGCAGAATTTGCTTCCAATATTATAGTATAGAGCTTCATTCTATCATATAAGAAATTAATTTATAACCTTGGACGATATAATATTTCATTAGTCTGAAATCAAACAAATCACTTTTTAAAAGCAACGATGTCAAAAGAGATAAGACCAAAAGGGCAATGCGCTTGAAATCCAGCAGCAAATAATTTTCTTAATTGCTGGTGTATGTCAAACGACCGTTTGGCCATTTTTTTTAACAAAAAAAAAGCTTGTTTGTTGCTTAAACATACATGACTTTCCCATTTTTTTTCTTTGGAAAAATACATAAAATTTCCTCTGAACTTGGCAACAAAACTTACTTTAACACTTTAACTTTATGGATAATTATTTACCCCCTAATCTCTTTTCAAGTGAATTTAGTATCACCCTAAAATTATAATATCAGTCTCACAATGACAAGTGCATTCCACACGCGCCATGTCATTGATATGTCAGCGCCACGTAGAATTTTTATTTTTATTTTTGTTTCTTTTTATTTATTCTCAATTTTAGAAAGCAAAAAATTTCAAAAAATGAGATCCATGTTCCTCAACTCAGTCACGATTGCAATTGAACAAATTCGGTCACAGTTGAAAGATCGATCCAAAATGTCAAAATCATTCTCACAAAAACACATTCAATTTTTAAGAGAATAAATAATGACTAAAAGTTTAATTTGAAACGAAGAAATTATAGATTTTTCATTAAAAAGAGCTTTAAGTTCATCACATTCAAATACTACCATAAACAATAATTTTGAAGCAAGAATAGTTATTGGCTTTTCTATTTTTTTCCTAGTCATCACACTTTTACGGATCAAAAGGAAATGGAGATAGGGTGAGGGCATTCCAAAGAAAGAGAAAGAAGATGGAAAGTTCAACGAAGAAGAAGAAAAGGGTGATGCAATGGTGGTTGAGGCGGCAGATCCGAAGAGAAAGAAAGAGGGTGAGGTTTCTAAGAGGAGAAATAGGGTCGAAATGGGGGTTTCGAAGAAGGAGAATCAAAGAGGTGGGGACGGTGGTTGAGGGCGAGAGGGGTGGTGGGGTGTGAGGAAGATGAAGGAAAAAAAGATTATTGGCTAAAAAGAAAAAAATGGGACCCACTTATTATTTTTCTCTTTAATTTTTGCAATTTAAGCGCAGTAAATTTTTTGACTTGCCACGTCAACTATTTGGGTGCATTTAAATTCACTTGAAAAGAGATAAGGGAGGTAAATAATTACTCGTAAAGTTAAAGTACTAAACTAAGTTTCGCCGCCAAGTTCAAGGGGGATTTTATGTATTTTCCCTTTTTCTTTAAACAAACAATTTTTTAAAAATGAAGTGAATGGCAAACGTCCGTTTGACACTCGTGTTAAGAAATTGGTTGTCGCTGGATTTTAAAAGAATCATCTCTTTTAATCTTCCTCAAAAAATATTGTCCCTCTTACATATTTACTTCAAAAAGTGGCTCAGACTTCGAACTTGGAGTTTCAATTAGACATTGGAGGAATTAATCCACAACCTTCAACAATTATAAATGATTAAATTCATTATAGTTTTTCGTTCAATTTAAAACAAAATTATTCTATTAATTTTTTTATTTCTTCTACATTTCCAATTTACTATTTTGAACATGATTGGATAACACCTTATTTGTGAATACGAGAGTTGGTGATGGTTATGGTAATAGAAGTTGGCGATTAAGATGATTGGTGGTGATATACTCTACTTTTTTATGTAGTGTAAAAAGTCAATCAAGTTGAGTAAAATAAAAACACCTAATTAGGTTCATAACTTTCTAAAGAATATTTAAATAATTTGGACTTGGATCATCTCCCATTCCAGGGTAATTGAAAGTAGCTTTAGTTAAAGGTAGCCAACCCATACCCCAAATGAAAGCTGCAAATTCTCTAACATTTCAGCTGTAATAAAGCAAAAAAAGAGCCATTGTATTCCTCTAGCAAAGGTATCACGCCACAAACCATGTTACACCCATACAAGAGATCAACTTTAAGCTAATCAAAGCAAACAAGTATATATGGGCTAACTTTCGTGCATCTTTATTATTTTATGGAATATGTGTTATCTTCCACCATCTCACCATCTTAGTTTAGGTGTAACTTTTTTCGTTAGTGTTGAGATAGAATAGAATAAATCACCTAATTTCTCGTGTGTATAACTTTCATCACTCTTCATTTACCACTAGGCAAGTAGTTGTTGGTCAAGCTTTTGGAAACTCAAAATCGTAAAAAGTAATCATTTTTAAAATGTGTTTATTTAGACAAGTGAGGTGTTTCGCTAAGCTTTTGGGAAAAAGAAAGGCATAATACGTAAATATGTCATTTAACTTGATTTTAGCTCATATTTATGTCCTTCAACTTTGAATGTGCACAAATACGCACTTAAATTTGTATAAAGTTGAACAAATAGATACACATGTCATGCGTGACATCCTACATGCAATTTTCATCCTATGTGGTGTCCTATGCGTATTATGTCACGTAGGGCTCATGTGTCTACTTGTTCAACTTTATACAAGTTAAACTGTCTATTTGTGCACACTCAAAGTTGGAAGACATAAATGTTAGCTAAGATCAAGTTAAATAATATATTTATGTATTACGCCTAAATAAGTGTTTAGAATAGAAGTAGTGAAAAAAAAATAATCTAAAAAAGCACTTTTAAGAATTTTGATCAAACATAAATTATTATTGTGAATTGATTAGTCAAACACAAATTGCTAATCACCAAACACGCTATTCCGAAACTCACTTTTGACAACAACAAAAAAACATTAGCAGATTTTAAAAGTTTGACCAAACACGCTATAATAAAGTAGAACAGAAAAGGAGATCAGTACTGTCAACAAAGAAAACTTTTATGTGAAGTTATTTGATGCCCATACAATACATTGCTTGGATTAAAATGAAAGTCAAGCAACCACAGTGATTCTGATAGAGAAAAAAAAGAACACTGAGTGATAGCTAAGCTAACTTTCAAGTCAATCTTTTCTATCTGGTGTGTGATTACAAATTTATTATTTTTAACTTGTTACTTTTCTCCACCTTACCCAATACTGAAAAACCCTTCTCACCAAAACTGACATGACAACTTCACACACATTAACAAATTGACCTGCAACACAATCTAAGAATATTCTTCTTCTTTTTTTCACATTTATTTGCTTTTATTGAATGTTGAAGTTCCCTCTTATGGATGTTTAGTCCAAAAAGAACTCTGTTACATAGTATGACAGAGGGAAAAAATATGTCAGGCAAGTCGGATTTCGCGCAGAAGCTGTTGCATGATCTTAAGCTTCGTAAGGAACGAGTGGCTGCTGCTCAAAATTCAGGCTATTCATACTCCACACCCAGAGGTAAACTAATTGAAATGCTAATGCACATGAATTTTTAAGATATCATGGTTAAATTATGCATGAGATTGCACGTCGAATTAGTGAATTGTATAGATTGAAATGTGTAAAATTCTATGGCAATATTACACTGTGAGATAGAATTTGTATGTTCTTTGAGTATTTGAGGTAATGCTGATGATAGTTAAAAGTATATAGCTCAGTGTCATCTCCCGCTACTGAGATCGTGAGTAAGTTGTCAAGTGCAACACGAAGCTTTAGTAAGACTCTAAGTTGGATCCTTTAAAAATAGCATTTTTGGAGGAACCCAACAAGGATGCAGAGTCTGAGAGACTTTTGTAATGTAAATTACTAAGTTGTTAACCTATCAGATGATTATTTACACATCATTGAGCTACATGATCTTTTCAATTATTACTCTTATGATTTTACAAATCCTTAATTTCTTATGAAAAAGGAGAAAACACTATCTTCAAGAGAAGATCATGATTTATAATGAATGTTTAAATAAAACATACTTGGAGTGTATATACAATTCACCAACATAATGTACACAATCAATTAAAAAATCCATTGTTTTCACATGGATGGAACAAATATTTCTCTGAGCCAGAATTTTGAGTTTATGAGTTTTGAATTCTAAAAAAAAGTCAGTTTGCTGAATTTTGGATAAGTTATTTATACATATTAAGTGAATTTCTTAACACAAATACAAAGTTTTGACCGAAGCTACTGAATCCTATCAAACATGTAACTTCATTTCTAGCTCCGCCCCTGAGCTCCACATAGTGTAACAAAAGATGCTAGAAGCAGAAAAATTCTATAAGGAAAAAGCTTGCAGAAGGATATGTTACAGATGATAGTGTTAACTAAACTTGTGATATGTTGCAATTGACAGATGCTCGTGCTAATCCGGGACAAACTTACAGAGGATCTCGACAGACAAAAACTCTAGAATCCGTAAGTTAACTTGACAATATCAGGACATTTTGAAGATTATTTGTAACAATAAATCTCATTCACCTTACATGTTACACTTTTTCAGGTTAATTCAAGAGTAGGTAGCACCAGCAACAGATCATTTCGCGTTGAAGAATCTTCAGGACAGATTGTTACCTATGGTACGGGGAGAGTCCGAAATTCTGAGAAGGTGGGAGATCTTTCCCTGGCCCTCGCTTTTGCTATTGAAAATGGAGGAAAGTTTACTAAAATGGACTCGGGCTCAAGCAGAAATCCTGTGCTAACTTTTCTCCATCAATTCAGCCAGAGATCAATGGACATAAGTAAGACGGACAGGAGAACGTATCATCTTCCAAATAGTCAGTTCCCTTCTGTCTCTCAAGTTCACATCAATGAAGTATCGAAAGGGATACACAAACTAAACCAGATTCTAAAAGCATGTTCCAATGGCCTGAATTTCGATAGGAACTCTATTGAAGTTGGGCAGGAATTGCTGAAAGGAGCTATGGATTTGGAAGAGTCCCTGAGGATGCTCGTAAACCTCCAGGAAGCTTCGGATCATATGATCAAGCCTCAAAGCAAAAACAGGATCACATTACTTGACGAGGATGAGGATGAGGATGTCAAGATAGTTGATCAGAAGCAACTAGACCTGCCAAGATTTTCATTTGATAAGCCCTCGAAAAACTCATATGTCACCAAAGGGACAGCAAAAAATGACATCAAACAGCGGCTTATGGCCCTGACTTACCCTGATCAAACTCCTAAACTGCACGAAAAGCAACTTCTCAGCACTAACAAGTCGATGTCCCATAAAACATCAGCTAGTTGTGCTCCAGACTTCAAAAATCTGAACCAGAAGAACCAGTTGAAAGGAACAAAATCTGGATCAGAGAAAGGAAGAATTTCGAATGTCATTGCAAAACTAATGGGACTCGATGAACTCCCGCAGAAGGAAGATAACAAGGCATCAAGGAAAGGATCAGATCCCAAAAAGAAGCAAGAGCCAGTACTAATGAGAAGTGCAGGTCCTATTGGCACCCGGGACGCTGAGAACAGGTCATCTCTTAATGTTGACAAAAACATGATAAGTGATATACTACCAGTTCAGGATGCAAAATTCGTGCGTAAGGCTGAGATTATCCGTACATCTCCAAGCAGGAACAATGATATGGTTTCTTCTGGTAGAGTTCAACAACAGGAGGAGCGGAGTATAGCGGTTAACAAAGATACAGGTCTAGTGCCCTCAGGCTCGCCAATGATCAACAACATGATGGATAAGCCACATAGCAAAAACATCCAAGTAAATCAAGTTAATTTCCAACAGAAACAGAAAGAACAAAACCAGACAAGTGTTAAGGGGAAAATCATAAAAACAGTCGAAATCAAGGAGACTATCTCACAGGCAAAAAAAACACAAACATCGAGGGTGCCTCCAATCGATATTGTGTTACAAGAAGATACAATTCAGAAAGAAAAGAAAGAAACAGACAAATTTCCTTTGAGCAATGAACAAAAGGCCTTAGCTAAGGATGAAGTGCATCATGTGCAGAAGCTTAAAAAATCCGAGGGACGTGATGAGAAGCATCAAGCAGGTAAGAAAGAGAAGTTACCCTCAAACAAAACTATGCAGGCAAGGACACACAAAGCAAATCAAGTGGAAATCATAGCTTCACCAAAATCAAGGAATGGTGCAGCAAGTTTGAAGAAGAAGCAGTCTTCTCGGAACCAATCCATTCTTGGTACGAAAAATTCTACCAAGTCTAAAAATGGAGCACCTGCAAAAGATTCTTCAAATGGAATAAATCAGGTTCTTGCCAAGCACCGGAACTCTTCTACCTCTGTAGGGATCATGCAAAGCAGCGAGAACAAAAATACCAATCAAAACGTGTTGTCAAAGGAAGTATTGTCTCGATCAGCGAAGCTAAACAACATCAGTCAATCATCTAAGCAAGAGAAGCCACTCAATCTGCCATCAACAGATAGGATGGATCATCATAACAAAATTCATAGAACCGAGACCTCTCCGAAAATAGATGAGTCATCCCCAACTTTGCAAGACACAAAGCTGCAGAAGGATGACAAAAGCTGCTCTGGTGGAGCAGAGCAGTCAACTGAAAGCCACACAAGAGAAGCAAACGCGGACAACATAGGATCTAATGAGCCAGATGTGAGCATGGAGATACTCGATTTCCAAACCGAGCTACTTGGTAAAATAGTAAACAGTACCTCCTGTAACACAACTATGGAAAAGGAATGTGACAACCTGACAGATTCTGGAACTGCGATTTCAAATGAAAATGTAAGTTCATCTGTGAGAAGAAAGTTAAACTTAATCTGTGCCCTTGGCATGCTTTTAACGATTCAGAGTAGTTTTATATCTAGAAACCTACATGTGAAATATCTTCATAATATGCTTTGTTGGATTCCTGCAGCATCAAGAAAAAACGCCACAAGAAGTTGAAATATCCACGGACCAGAAACTCGGAGGAGATAGGCCAAAGATATCACAAGCTACGGACCAATTTAATGGTATGCCATATCTTCTTATATATTAAGAAATGTAGCATTCTTAATTAACAAGTATACATAGAAGTCCTATCATCTCTATATCCCAATGATTAGCGCCTTTCAAACTCCAACCATGATAATCAAATATCATTGACATTTTATGATTATATGAAAAATTATTAGCTCATATACTGCAAACTGGTTCTTATGATCGATGTTGCAGGGATTCATCAAGAAGCATCACAGAACAGTAAACTCTTCAATGATGAACAAAATAAAAGTTTTCCAGCCAAATTTACAGGTACTGATATAAAAATCTTATTTTGATTCATTTACATGTATTAAGATAAACATCATAGATGAATTTCCTCACCCTTTGATCATATTGAAGGAAAAGGAGGCATCAAAATCTCCAATGTTGTTAGAAATGATCAAGAAACAACTCTCCCATTAGTGGTACAAGAACCATTAACAGTTCCTGAAAAACACTTCAAGGAGTCGGTTATCAAAAATCAACTATTTCTAAACACAGCAGAGGCGCTTTTCAAGCTCAATATACCAATCAGCATTCTCCATGCCAGTGATCAAAATAACCAAGGGGAAGACGTTAAACTTATGATAGACTGCGGCTATGAGATAATGAAAAGGAAAGCAATAAGACAGGAGTTAGCGGTCCATCCTTATGCCACAATATCCATCAGATATACAAAGACAAGATCTTTGGACAATCTTATCAAGCAACTCTGCAATGATTTCGACACATTAAAGTCCTATGGAGGCATTGGAAATGTGAGTGATGAACGCGATGAAGCAGACTACTTGCATAACATGATCGGTAAAGATATGTCGAACAGAAATCCAGATGTGAACTCCATGTGGGATTCTGGATGGAGTACTGATCAAATAATGTTTGGTTTCCTTGAAAAGGATGATGTTGTAAAGGATGTGGAGAAGCATTTGCTCAATGGACTCATCAACGAGATCACGATGGATTTATTACGAATAGCCATTTCAGTTTGATTGTTTGATAGAGTAAGAAAGTCATTTCAGAAAAAGATTGTTGTTGGCCTTATAATTATTGTGCAGTCTAAGTAGAGTTGAAAGTTGATGAAGCAAGTCTTGTAAGTAGTAAATCATAAGGCAAAGCTTATAAGTAACACATTTTTGGATTTCAAGTCTGTTCTGATTCATTTTCAATCATCAAAGACATAAAAGAAAATGTAATCAGACACTCAATATGATAATATTGTAGTTGTAAATTTTGATCCTACCACCGTTCAGACAAGTCTACCTTGAGGTCAGAGACAGGTCCAGGATTTGAACTTGATGAGTTCGACATCTAAAGATCACAGTATAACTACATTTATAGTTTATCACATATATATAACTACTGGTTTGGATTAAACACGTAGCTCAAATGCTACATTCATCACGTTGAAGGCAAGAGATGAGTCTCAAGATTGGTAGACTCACCAAGCCCGCGACTTACAGGCATGTCTCACATGTGACAAACCTACCAACACCACACAATCCCCATTGGATCAACTCACCATTCGTCGTGATCCAAGAGGACGTTACCTACAATTGACAATTTTCTACATCCTTTCAGCAGCTAAAAACATTCTTTTACAAAGGGACACATAATCTTTTCTCATATGATTTCACTCACTTGCAATTCTACTTGTAGTTTAGCTCTCACTATTATCAATTTCTCCTTGTAACACACCTTAAAGCTTTAAACATTAGTAAACTATCACGAGTACAGGCTAAATTGCGGGTCATAACTCAACCTGTTCAATTTTTAATAAGCTATAATTGTGTTATTTGTTCTTTTACAACTTTTTAGTACCTAATAAAACTATAAAAAAAAATTCTTTATTATGACTATATATAATTAACATATGTATAAAAAGAAGAGCAACTTTCACATATAGCAAACAAAAAAATCATATTTGTATACTATAGCAAAGTTTCCATAATTGCGCTCCATAGCAAACATATATATGTATAATTCGCTATACATATACAATTGAAAGTTATGTCTATTTCGCTATACATATATACGAAAAGAAGCAATTGTATAATTTGTTGGCTCCTTTTCAGATTTGTATAATTTCGCTGGCAGGCCATTTGTATAAATTGTTGTTAGCCTCTCGTTTGTATAAATCGTTGACAAAAATATTTGTATATAAAAAATCGCTCTCTTTCGCTTTA